AGTGAACTGTTCACATTTTGGAACAGATAGTGTCTGCATCCACCTATTTTTGCACCAAAGCAAATGGAGGCTATCATTTGTATAACTTGGTTTTATCAACTGGGTTGATTATGAGATTTGACCATCATAAAGAGTTTTTAAATAACTTCTTATAGGAAATTAGTTGTCTAGGAGTCTTGACAATTTTCACCATATTTTTTTTTTTTAAATCCCACCTTACTATTTCCCAAAGCAGGATTGGGAAGAAAAATGCAAATTGTTCTACAGAGTGATGGAGAAATTCTTTTGTGTCTATTAGTAAAGGCCTTGTGATGCAGCTATAAACCTCTATCCTTGACTTCTGAAGGCATAGCAGGATACTTGGGGGTGACAACTGGTGAACATCCCTCTTCCAGTTGAAGGCAAGCAACTCTACTCATAGAAAGAGTTTTTCTGGGTTGTTAATTATTCTTCGACAACATTTTTGGGGTCAAATTACAGGTAAATCTAAGAGCAGAGCAAAGAAGAGCAGAACAAAGTCAAAGGATTTATCTGCTAAAAGGCCATCATCTATATTTCCTGAGTTCACTGCGAAGAAACTCAAGGGAGATCCAATTACCCAGCCATCAAGATCCCCTAAGGAAACAACCCTCCACGTGGAGTGCCTTCAACAAAGGGAAGAAGAATCAATGCTGATCGAAGAAGATGGTAAGTTCAGGTGTTTCATAAAGGGCTAGGCACTGGGCAAACTGACCAGTTGTGAGGAAGGTTTTACCCCCATCTGGTTTGACAATTAAGAGGAAAGTTTATCCTATAAAGAAGTTCAATTAAAAATAGTATTGCCAGTCAGTGAAACCAGTCGCCCTCCTGCTGGAAACATTAATGAAACCCCTGTAAGTTTAAGAATGAATACTTACATAGTATAATACATGTACATGTATGTGACAATGAGGGAGGATGGAGTTTCAAACCCAGTGTCTCATACTGAACATTGCTCGTGTTAGACTACAGTACATTTACAAAAGATTTTTGGCCCCTTTGTCTCAATGGGCAGAGACAAACTGTTCACAAGGGAAAAAAACAAAATTTTTTCATAAAAATTTGAGTTTCACTATAAATTTCAGTGCTTTTATTAAGATTTGAAATAGGTGTCTACCTCGGTACAGCACCTGCCGGAGAGCAACTTGAGCGTGGTGACCGCGACTTGAGCACGGTGAAATATACCTGGCAACTCACAACAGAATACCCACCGGGGTTCCGGCGGGTGCCTGGTCTTATTGAAAGCACTGATATCGATATTTTTATGCTTGTTTCATGGAAAATATTTAGTTCCCATGAAGGAAGTGTTATCCCAGTTGGTAGATGTTAAGATGGTACCAACAGTTACTCTACGGCACTTAGAACTGAAGAAAGATCCATTGCTAGATGTTAAAGTGATCACAAGATCTGTCATCTTCAGGTAAGAATTACAATATCTAACTCATTATTTTATTAGTGGTAAGGTGGCTCATATCACAGAGATGTTTGGAGAATAGTCCATTTTACAGTTGTGTGCTTGGTTGCCAAGCCTTTGAACAGGAGTGAGGCTAGAGATGACATTGTTATGATACAAACCTTGCTGCCTTCCAAATGTGAATCACTTTGTTATCATGCTAACTAGATACAGGTCTCTATCACAACAAGGTCATCTTTAGCCTCACTCTGAATCAAAGGCTTGGCAACTAAGTACACAACTGTAAAATGGCCTATTGATATTAGTAATCAATGGATAGTAAAGAGCAAACTTGGTATCACAGAAAACCAAATCAACTCTGCACAAAAGATTGATAAATAAGAGTGGCAATGGTTTTCCCACCCAATACTAAATGATGATGACCTCCTTCTGATGGAACTTTTAGCACTTTTTAAACTCTCTGAGCTAACCTTTTCAAGAGAGACTCTGCAAACTTCTACTCACTTTGAAATTGCCACCACCTGTCTATGGGGCTTTTGCGCAGGTATTTGGATAAATTCATCGTTCAAAATGCGACTAACTGATTACAAATATTCAGTGTAAGGAGGCTAATGGTCAGTCTTCAGTGCCTGGTCAACTTTTTTCTATTTATTCATTGTTTTTCAGTCATGCATAACAAAGGAAAAACATTTGATTGCATTATTAGACTCGAGATAGATTACCCAGGTTTTAACATATAAGTTTGTTCAAAGTCAGGTTTGAGGACAAATGTTATCATTCCTCGCCTTTTTTGGTTATGGTTCCAAAGCATAACTATTGTTGCCGACCTCATTTGCAGGGGTGAAGTTACAGAGAAAGGTAACGAGTGGAACTTACCGGAAGCAGCCGCTTATGTGACATTTCACGAGGGAGCTGTGCCAAAACCTTTATTATTTACTTGCTCAGTATGGTCTCCTAAACTCCGTTGTCCACCTATGGGTAGTGATGAGCTTTTGGTAAGCAATGTGATTGAGCTGTCACATGATGGTCCACCAGACCTAGAGTTCAATGGAGATGATGAAGGAAACATAACTGTGTCTTTGTTGCACAGTGCAAGTGATTTGAAGGGTTATGAAGTGGTTATCAAGCAATTGGTGGATCCACATGACAGCGAATGGAAGGATTTGGAGACTTGGCATGCTTCAGGTACAGGTTA